GAAATTGTCCTGAAAGCATGCCAGAGACCTTAGTAATAGGTAAGCAGTACCAACGATTTTATCTATAAAAGGCTTAAATCTGTTAATATTCATATAAATTCCACCATAAGAACAACCAATGTTCAAAAGAAAATTCAAAGCGACTGATCATAAAAGTATTTCTCACTATATATAAGACTTTGACTTGTTTTTGAGTCAAAGTAATAGAAATGTTATGCTTAAAAACAAACCATAAGACAAATGAACGTACTACATATTGCTGAACAGCATCCAGAGGAGGCAGCTTACATAGGAGTGCATTCACTGTCAACATCTGATACTGAAAAGGTCAATAGTTAATTAAATAATCCATCACCTTAGGATAGAGAGCAGTCCTCACTTCTGACAATCAATGACAGAAATATTAAAAGGTCAGAAAATGAGTTACTATATATTGTGTTTTCTTATTGTGCATTATAAAGATGTGGCTGGTGGTGGGAGGCGTGAAGATAGGTAGGAAGAAATATTAGCTGTTATCCAAATATTTTCTGAAATGCTCTTTTACCAGGCTTCTTTATGTGTTGGCTACTGGAACGATGGGCCTCAGAGATGTAATAAACTTCCATGTCCACTTAGAAAAACAATTTAGGAATAAACCACTTAATTTATCAGACACTTTGTTTAATAACCAGGGCACTTTTAGGAGCATCTTTCTCTTGTTTCCGTTGAGGTCATACTGGAATAAACAGAGTGCTTTGACACTCAGGTATGGTTTGGATAGGAAGTGTTATGTTGGAAACACAAGGCTGGAAAACCTTGTCCCAGAAACAGGGATCTTGAGTCCCATTTTCTGGACCCAATAATGAAGCCTCCACAACTGCTGTACCTGCCCTTGTGCATAGGCTGCTCCTTGCTTTGCACGTCTTGCACCTGGATCTGGGGTTATCCTTATGGATTACTACACTAGTCAAAATGTGGTGATGATTTTTCCTTGCGTTTTTCTAAATGAGTTGTAGTTTTCTTCTAGATTTCTGAATGGAAAATGTGCTTTATGTATGGGTGAAAGCAGGTTCCCACGACCAGCACGCATTGGTGATGCTTTCCTACTTACTCATCTTCCATAGGTGTGCCACAGCATATACTTTCCCCCTTCCTCATTGCTGTACAGCGTGGAACAAATATGTATTTATTGCTCTGCGTTGCTGCTTGCCCTTTTTTTCTCTAGTCCATTCCTGGTACATAGCTATACCCTGCCTCAGTGTATGAAAGTCACCACGCTCAATTCTGGCAAGTGTTATATGATTATTTTATCTCTCACTATAAAGCGTTTCGAAAGACTTTGTGTGAGAGGCAATATAAAAATAAATTGAATTGAACTATGGCTTCACCTTCCCACTTTTTAGTGCAGAAACCTTTAGAGCAAAAACTGCAATATAACGACAAAGGAGGAGATTAAGACTGTGTTAAGACCGTGTCAGGAAAGAGGTGATGCTGTATGACAGGTTCGACTCTTTGTGAGCAGTTTGGTTTTGCAAAGGGCTGTGTATTAATTAGATTTCAGGCATGTTCAAACTGGGAAAAAGCCTGTTTGTATTTTTTAGTGGGAAGGTTATTTTAAGCCATGAGAAAGGTATTAGATACTATCTACCATGGTGTATTTGTATAAACAAAGGTCTACCTGATGATTGTGCAAACATCTGTTCTGCTCTTACCCAACATTGCACGGTTCATTAAAACTTACCCCACTGGCCTCTGAAAGGCCAATTCTGGAAGCACGTCGTCTTACTTACAGGATCCACAATTGAAATAATTTGTCTTCTAAAAGAAAATAATCTTAGCTTAGGGTAATAATGTTTTGGGTTTTGTTTTTTTTTTTTTTTCCTGCTTAAATATGATTTTATGTTTTACAATGCAGGCTCAATAAATTACATTAATAAATGACTCCTAGTTCACAAGAAGTGCTGTATTTTGACAATATCAGCCAACCTTTCCATTTGTTTAAGCAGGAAAAGTGGGGAGCCAAAATAAAGCTGTTACAGAAGAAATCTCAAGAATGTTTATGAAACTCTGCTCTAGCTACATTTATTAGGAGTTGAAGCATAGTCTTAATCTGTCATGCAGAATTCCAGGGCAGTGAGTAATTTCTGGAGCTTCTCTAAATGCCAGGAGTTAATATTTTTTTTTCTGTAGCAATTTGTTTGTAAACATGGAGTGAATTGCATAGGTTGCAATGTGATATAAAGGTATCAAGGATTTGTCATCTTCTGCTAGCAGCTGTTGGGCTTATTTTATAGCATCTCATGGGGTTTTTCAGATAAATGCACTGCTGATGGCAAGTGAAGGCACCCTGAGGTTCTCTGATGGTGGGCACACACCAGGTTGAGCTGCAGTAAGCTGTTTGTTGGGGATTTAATCGCTGCACTCTCACCAAGGTGTTACCTGGAGAGTACCCACATCAAGCAGGGAGATGGGATTCAATATCCCCTCTGACAGAGGTGCTTTGAGCATCGCTTTTTTGATGTAGAGTGCAAGGCTAGCTTCTTAGGGGTGACTTTTAAGAGAACAGCTCTGATGAATTTTGCTTGCCGAACTCCCTGGTGTTGCCAGAACATGGGATATTTGTTCTTCTCCTTCTGTTCTTATGGCATACTGTCTATCATGGTGGTGTCTGCTCTCTTATGTTCTGGTCTGAGGTTGTGTCTATATAAATCCAGCATGACAGGGATGGACCTGCAGCTCAGCTGTTGCTGAGGAACTCATATCTGCTGTGTCTGCTTTGGAGTTAGTCTTGGACTGAGATTGGCATGATCCCATGGACTGGCTCCCTGTTACTGGTGGGACTGGCCACATTCTGTGGACTCTTCAAAATTAGGTGTACTTAGCATGTTTGCTGAAGATTCGTTCCATAATTACATGTTGTCATTCACTGGAGTCAGTAGAGCAGTGCACATCTCCATAAGCATAACCATCACTTGTCTCAATCCCTGAGCTCAGCTGACCACTTCAGTGCTCCCAGAGGCCAAGTCAATTGTTGGAGATTGTGTTTGAGGCATGCACTGACTTGGGAGAGACGTAAGCCTGCCTCCATGGGACTCTCTATCCTTTCAAAGGGTTTTTTTTTTTTTTTATGGCTTTGGTTAATGTGGCAGTGACTGTTTGTCTTCAGTAGTACGTCAGTTCTCATGGTCTCCTGCTCACCGGATCGATTACACCATGTCAGACAAACAGAGCAAAAGTCATCTACGGGGAAAACCCACTCGTTTCTCACTGCATTCCCAACCACCTCAGAACCTCTGCCAGCACATGTTAACTCTGATAACATTTCAAGATACAGCTTTAATGAAATGAAGGTCTTGCTTGCAAGGCCATGTTGTCTGAAGTTCTTCCATTGCTCATTTAAATCCAATATAATTAGTACAACTACAGACTTTGTTGTTATACTTGCTGAAGTATAATGGCTGCTATTATAGCAGCTTGCAAGAGCAAAGATATATGATATTGAACGATATGTCAAGGAAAAATAAACATGTTTCATTTCTTCATTAGATAATGTTTATTTATAGCACAATATATATCTACCTCCACTGTACCATTAAAGTTTTGACTGCTTTTTAACTATAAAATTTGATATTGTTGTGGCAGCTGCACTACTCAAATGATTGCTATAGTACAGCTGTTATCAAAGAGTAAGATTTATAGCTACACTACATGGTGTAAAGATATGTGCATATTTACTTTGTGTTTTACTACTTGTGTCCTATATTTTAATGACACAAGGTGAGATGAAATAGTGAAATAATAAACTCCTTTGGAGCTGCAAAAATGAATGGTCCGATTTGTTTAAAGTTTGATGTTTAATTTTCTATTGTGCTAGCAATACAAGCCTTTTCTTCTCTGCTGTTTTGCTTTGCTTTGGCATAGTTTACACATTAGTGGTGATCTTAGTTCTTTATTCTGTTTTTACTTTTCAGAGAAGTCTTTTGAACTGAAGGGAAAACGGCATTCTTGATTAAACATATCAAGCAATGCTATATTCTAGGTGAAAACTGATGTTTTGGCCTTTGGCTCGATTGTTAGGCTGCATGGGCAATCTTCTAGAAAGAATATTGAAAGAGTGAGTGTAAAGGGCACTTAGATCCACTTTTACGTGGCTAATGTTCTACATGGTCAGATTGGAACAGCCGCATGGAGTATGAAAACAAGTTCAGAAGATCTCAGCAAAGTCCAGTTTGCTCACTGGGTGGATCCTGATCACCTGTAGAAAACTCATGTGTAGCAAGTGCACTGCCAAGACCCAAAGTGAGCCTGTAAGACTGGTCTTTGTAGGATGAAGGGTTTATGAGCATAAAGTATTTGTAGGGAGTTGCTTCTGGTTGCATTTTCAGTTTTGTCAGTGAGCAATGTCTTTTTGTCTGTCCTCCCTAGTTTTCCACTAATTAACATTAATTCAGCAAGAATTGTCTGATCAAATAGGCATAGAAACAGAACTAGGTTATTTGGTGAAGGCTAAGGAATATCAGCAGAAATATGTGGTACAGATCAAGTGCAATATATAGTCTTGTGGATAAGAGGTGAATTTTAATCTCAAGTGTTCTCTGAAACTCCAAAATAATTTTTAAAAAAGAAAAAACAAAAAAAAACAAAAAAAAACAAGAAAAGAAACAACCACCAAAAGGAGAAATTAAACTAAAGAGGAATGATATACTTTAAATTCTTAATTAATTGCTGCCATGTGCTTTTGTGGTCCATGCTGAGTATGGTTGTGTGCATGGTAAATTCAACCGTGCTGCATTTAGTTGTGGGTGGGTGAAAAAGAGGTTTCAGTTGCTCCTTATAATAATCTGGTAAAATGTATTCATTGATGGCTGCGTCAATCACACGTTTTGTTTCCTACCAAACTGTTGTGTGTCAAACCTGTTCTACCTATTTATTTTTGTTGCATCTCTTGTTTTGTTTGAAATAATAAACTGTTAACTACAGCAACCTGCTAACGTTGAGCATGCTCCTGTCTTCTATTTCAGCTATTCAGATCAACTATGGCTATACCACATCCATGTCTATCCATCGTACTTTCCAAATATTTTGATAAAATCAAAGAGAGCCATTGAGATAAAGTTTAAAGGGAAGAGCTTTCTGGTGAATAACTCAAAATTAACAGGCTCTTCCTGCTGTGCAAGGCAGTGACAAGCTGAAGATGGAGCTTGCACATCGTAGGAGCAGAACGTAAGGATTCCGCCAGGTTTTAATGCATACCGGCTATTTTGACTTGGTAAGATGAGCAACTCATCATGTTATGGTACATTTTTGTTCTGTTAGCTCAGTACACCATTTTCTGTCCCTACGTACTCACACGCTTTGAATGCTATGTAATAACGTTGTGAAAACAGGCCTTCTCATGAGGTCTTCCTTCCTTCCTGGATTTTCTCATGTCACAATCCAAGAATAGCCTTTTGTCTTGATATTTCAGTTTGTTGTTGTTGTTTGTTGTTGTTTTTTTTTTTTAATGCACAGAACAAAAGGTTATGACAAAAAAAGGGAAAAAAAAAAAAAAAGAATTTCATGTCTTGTTAAAGATTTGGCTCAAGGTTTTGGTTGTAGTCTGAGAAAAGCTTCAGACTTCCTATTATTTCACCTATTCATCCCTACTGTGAACTTATTTTGCCTTAGGGTGGTAGCCTATAGAATTTACTTAGGCATTACTTCTTATCAAAACTTTGACCAACAGCTTTGTGATCACTGGAGTCCCTAAACACAGGGGAATATACAGGCCCAGTTAATATGCAAATCACTGCTAATTAGACAAACAAGCAACCAGTAAAGCAGATCTGGCAAGTGACTTGACATTAGGTAAAGTACATGTGATAATTAATAAACTGGAAATTTGGATGGCCATCAGAATGGAAAACATATTAGTTTAGCCATGCTTGATCAATAGCTACTGTCTTTGTGCATTTATGTTGAACAGCATCCATTCACATACCTCTGATTCTAGCAGAAAGAAAAGTGCTGAATTACATATGCCCTGCTGATTTCAGTGGTAGGGACCATCTCCATAGCTATGGAGATCGATACTTCAGAAGAGTTTACCAAATGGTAATTTTCAGTGGTGTCACTGCCTTTTTTTGCTGCTTTTTTTTTTTTCCTTTCCCTTCCTTTTGCCAGAGATCAGATTTTGCAATTACAAAGTAACCACATCCTAATCCTGCTAATCAGAAACATTTTTTCTACTTTTTTTTTTTTAGTTGTTGTGTTTGTATTACTTTAATTTGCTTTGTTGTAACTCTTTATCTATTTATCAAAGATAAATGCCTAATAATATTCACCTCTCTTTTGGAGGGGAACTTTTCCAGGGTCCAGACATTAACTGTAACTCTAATATTATAATAGTACAGAAATATTCTTAGAGTACATTATGTGTGTGACTTTTTGAGGTTCAGGAAACAGAAATGAAAACCAGTAGTTCTGCTATAAATACTTCTGCATCATCTGTTGAGCCCATTTCCCCCATTTAAAAATAAATAAATAAATGAGAAAGAGCAGTAAGAAAGATAGAAAATAAGTAGCAGAAAAACACGCTGAAATAACACACCCACTAAAATAATGAAGCCATAAACACAAGGAAAATGTGTGTTAAGGCTACAAAAATACTTTACCTCAGTTCCCTCGGGGCCAGTCTTTACAAGACACATGGCCCTTTTCATTTTATGAGACGAGCCCAAGACGCTAAGCTGTGTTTGCAAGGCTGGGCAATACTTTAAGAAAATATTGTAAGACTTTGCTATGCCTAGTCTATCCCAAGACCCTGAGCCTATATTAAAAAGACCTTTTTAAGCAAATACTGGAGCGTATGCTTGACATGAAGTATATCTGTCACCCAGCTGATTATGCATGCTGGTCTGTTAGCTGATGTTATAGAGCTGATCCCTTAATATGGAACCATCCCAGAGCAGTCCTTTTTAAGAAATATTGAGTACTATGATTGTATGATTGTCCTGCTTTTCTTGAGATTGAACAAAACTGTATCTCAAATGGCTGCAATATGTTTATCTTTTCTTGGGTGTTATGTGGCCGTTCTGTGCTCTGCAAATACATTACTATACTCCAACAGATCTCCATCTTTCCCTGTAACATCTCTTTACTTCTTTATTTTATGCTAAGGAATAAAAATAAACTCATCTCTCACTCCCCCAAACTTGTGAGGTGATGCAGAAACATTTATAGAAGTAACACTGATTCTGGTTTGTGTCTGTTGAGGATAGGGTGATACATGATTAATGGCTGGACAAAGATAGCTCTGTCTTAATAATATTTATGCTATTGTCTTCAAGGTCTTAGGAGTACTTTCCAGTGCCAGATAAGTTAGTATTTCCTGTGACTGAAGTCAATGAAACTATCTGTGTGAGCAAGTACTGCTGATTATGAGTAGCAACTGTATATTTTAGTGGTTAGAGCCATATTTTGACCAGGAGTAGTCCAACATCTCAGATTTTCAGCATGATGCCTTTGATTTCCAATCTTGTGGCCAGGTTTTTCACTCAGCTGAGCACCCAAAGGCACTCAGTGTGCTGCACACCCAGCTTTGTGCTGAAAAGGGAATGGGGGTCCTTGGGAAATCCAACCCTCCACAGGCTTCCAGTGGCCGTGCAAGTGGTAAGGATGGTTTGCAGCATGTGGAAGAAGCACGCATTTCTGTCTTTCAGGATGGTGAAGGAGTGACTGTGTATGTGGGTGGCATTAAAAACAAAATTTGGTGTGTTTTTAGGCTGTGTCTTCTTCCTCATATACCACATTAGATAGGATTTTAGCACTTATCTGATGAAGCAAATCTCACCATCTCTTTGAACAAAATACTCCTTGAAACCATACAATGCCAGAATTGTGTCTGAAACCATGCAGAGGGGGGTGGACGTGGCTTTGAAGGTGGTACAGCACTGATTTCACAAGACCTCAGTCTCTCCTCTGATGTGACAGATAGTATGTGTTGTACAACCGCGTTGTGGTCCCCTGGTCCCACTTCCTTCTCCCCACTGAAAATGTTATCCCTTTTTGTGACCTAATGGCACGATTGTACCTTTTTGACTAATTCCCACTATGGCAGTGGCTCTGCAAAAACGTTGCCTTTTGTTTTGCCTTTTTAATCACTTTCTAATGATAATGCAGCAAAGTCATTACTGTGTTGAATTGAAATAATTTTCCTTCATTATATTATGATCATGTAAAAAGAGGAGAAAAGCTTTCAGATTGTGGACTCTTACATTAGCAACAATATTGAATGCGTACTATAACAAAAAAACATTTATAACCTCTTAAACTTACTTTTACTATATCTGATCTGGCATTTGCTGCCTATATGCTGGTGTCCATATGTGTGTGTTTTTAGATCAGTGTGCACATATCATATGGAAAGAGGAAGTGGGCTGACCAACAAAATCCATCAGAAATAAATATGATACAGTACCAGTCTGTTTCAATGCTTTTCTCAGCGTCCAGAAGCCCTCTTCTTTCCATCATGGTTTCTAAGCCAGCTGAATTTTTCCAGAGCTCCATTCCCATCCTGAAAACAGACGAAAGAGGTGTGTAGAAGTACCCAGAAATATATCTTATAAAATCTGGTTTGAGAAATACTGATTTTTGCTTTCGGATTAATCAGCTTTCTCTAAACTTTTTTTTGTTGTTGTTGTTCTGTTTTTGCATTCTTCTCTAAGGAAAGTGGGGCAGCAGGAGATCCACGCTAGAAATAGGCAAGTGTCCTTTTCAGAGCATAAGGAGGATTCTTTTTGAGGGCAGCAGTTAAGGTGATCCATTACTTGACACTGTAAAACGTTCTCAAAGAGCCATGTATCCAGCTTGTAAACTTCATCAAGTTGTTCTTTGATATTGAAGGGGGAAAGGACTCACTGCCCCCTCCATGCTGTAGAGTTTCTGCCACAGATGTTAGAAATGCAACTTCTCCTGCAGCAAAACCTAATGAAAATCCCGAGTCTCTTCTAGAGGGGAATAAAAATAATAAAAGAATAAGCCTCTCATCAAATAAATAGTTTTCTCTAACACATAGGTATTTATTGGCTTTTCTTTTAGGTTTGGTGTTTCTTCTAATTGATGTGACCCCTCAAAGTAATTTGAGGAAAGAGGAAAAAAAAAAAAACCAAAAGAAACATTTATCTCAGCTTAATCCACTTCTCAGTGGTCTGTAGCTTTCTTAACAGGCATCTGAAGATCATTTGGAGTCTTGATAATATTCAGTAGGTGCTGGAAGTACGAATCCATTAACAATATCTGTTCCAGTACAAATAAATTATTTCTGGTCATACAAAACTCCTAGAATTTTCCTGAATGACAGACAAAAATCATAGCTACTCTCTTTACTTTTTTTTTTTTTTTTTTTTTTTTTTTTTTTTTTTTTTTTTAAAGAATGAATTATTTTTCTGCAAAAATTAACTCTTATAATTAAGCCCTTTTTTTTTTAATATCTCATTCTCTTATTTCAAGTATATTGGTTTAGTTGGATGTAATTTAAAATAGACTGGCTTTGTTTTGCTGGAATGTTTGCATGTTCTCAGTCATATGAAGTGCTGAGAATGAAGCAGGGATGGCTTAATACATAGCATACATAGCAGGATACACCTTGACAGAGGTATTAATTCACTGCAGGTTTACTCCACATGGAATCTCTGTATTTTTATCACATGTACAGTTGGTTGTAATGCCACACTAGGTATCATGTACAACATCAAAGAGCTAAGTAAGTATAAAGGTATGCTGTATTTCTTCAGTTCATGTCAACAAAATCCCTTTCAACCTTGGATACCTCCTGCTTAAAAATCTTTAGCTATTGCTGCATTTTTGTTTGCAGCATTTCTGTCCAAAAATAATATTTGTAACAGGAAAATGGAATGATGGAATGCTTAGGCTGTCTTTTTTTTTTTTTTTTTTTCAATTTTTGTTATAGTTTTAGAGTATTTAACTCTTAGCTGTCCTTGGAAAGCAGGTAGAAGTCTCCCAAATAAGTAATGTTTTAGAGCATAGCATCAGCTTTCCACTCAGCTACCTTATTATCATTTTTCTCTTAAATCAGCCTTCTTCCCCCACTAACCATGACATTTTCACCATATGAAAGAATATCCGACAGCGTATTTGCTGAAGACTTTGGAGACGGTGATCCAGCTCCCCCCCCCCCAAAATAAGACAAAGGGAACAATTGTCCAACCTTTACTCCTGTTGATGGCTAGGTACTTGTCATTAGCTGGCAAAACATTTTAG